GGTAATGACCAAAATGCCTAAACCAGCCTATTTTAGGACAGTGACATGGAGTGACACAAAAATATTGCATCATAAGTCTGTCCAGCAGCCTCTTCTGAAAGCTGCAGCAAGTGCAGCTGCTTCCTGAGGAAGGACTGAAGCAGCTGCAGTGGGAATGCATTCCTTGCAAACAGCAAAAGGACAGCAAGATATTGGAAATGTCACTGTGCAGCAATAGTTTTAATTCACTTTGCTGAATTCAGTACCAGCTTCCTGCATGCAGGCTTCCTGTTGTGCTGTGTGAAGGTAGAATGGTCATGAACCTGGGGAAGGGAGAGGGACTCAGAAATTGCTCTAGTCCATGGGAGATTTCTTTCCTAGGAGTATTCTCTATGTTAAATGCAGGATCTTTTTCTGAATTTATTCTCTATTACTCGGCCAGTGTTTTTTTGTTTTTTTTTTTTGTGGCTTAATATTTAATAAAATTCAATTGTTGTTATTTAGTGACAATGGAGAACAGAAGAGAACTCCATAGTGAGAATAATTTTAGACTTCTGAGGCAATGGGAGGAAGATCTACATGTGTTCTTTTTGACTGACACATGTCAGAGCAGTAATGACATTGACTGGAAGATATTTCACTTTTCACTCGCACACATGCCATATGTCATTACAAAAAGTACCATGAGTAGTGAAATGCCATAAATGAAAATAAATGCTTTGTACTTATGGCCAGTTGTAACATTAAGTGCTTAAAATGTGCAAGATAGGGAATGTCTCCTACAGAGCTAAACTTGACCATGTGGGGAGACATGAGGAAAGCATGCATATCAACTGATTCCCACTTTAAAATGGGTAGATTGCATATCAGTTTTCAATAAAAAGCTGAGATCCCTCTGACACCATGCTAGCTAGGAAATGACTGTAAACTGTTTAGTGTGAAGAGTTCCATTCAGGAATGTAGGAACTGGATTTTTTTGTCCTACTCAGCATCTCACTTCAATGTGTGTTTCAGCTCCTTTCACTAGAACAGACCTTGCTTAAATCTAATAATGTGCAACACTGAATATCTCAGTAAACACAGGCGAAAAGGCTTGACTAATATTAAAATCAAGTCTGTAGGCAACATCCATTAGGACAACATGGAGAAGACTCATACAGGATGAGAGAGTCAAATTTAAAATTCTTCTGTATGTTGCAGTCCTGGTATCAAAAGGGAATAGGGCTATTTTAAACACAGATCTGTGTTTAAGAGATCAGAGAGATGTGAATCTCACAGCCAGATACCCATGCACAGAGCCTGTGAAGTCAACGTGGCTGGACGTATTATTTGTGTGCCTTTATCAAGCTCTGACAGACATTTTTACCTCAAAAGGTTCATTACTGAGAGATCAGAATCACAGTTCCTTATGCAATAATGAAGTTGCACTAGAAGAGAGGGCACAGCACTGGCAATGTGCAAGCCAGAAAAAAGTGTGAGAGGCCAGACTGTGTAAAGCATTTAAACTGCAAAAAAGCCCAATTCCTAGCAGGTGGCTGTGAAGTTGTCTCAAAGTGCAGTCTCTTGATTCTCTGCTGCTCTTTGCCTGGCCAGTCTCCAAGAGATGATTTGGAGAGGTGTAAAAGCTGCTTGAAATTAGCTGAGAACACTGGGCTCAGAGCAGCCAGCTGGAGGCTGCCATGCCCTGGCACCCTGCAGCCACTCACGCCTCTGCCCACCCACACTCATCCTCCCCTGGTGCTTTCACAGCCAGGAAGGGCACTGGACACCCACAGACCCGAGCCTCTCACAGGAACACAGAACCTGAAGAGAAGGGAAACACTAAGAACTGACACTGTGCCCATGGCAGCTTTGATTGGTAAAAAGCCTGCATCACTCCCAACAGAAAATTGTACATTGATTTTACTCACAAATGCATGACAGCAGTTACTTTCCAATGCTGGCATTCACAAATGTGGGCACAGCAAAATATTCAAAGTCATAGCAAAACAATAAACAATCAGAAAGCAGTGGCTAAATAGAATTTGTAACTGTTAGGCAAGGGTACAGCAATGCTCTTAGACTGGTACCTTATTTTACACTGAGATTACATAGACAAATTCAAAAGTATTTTGAGTTTAGTCCTTTGTAATTACATCGTAATTACAGTGTCCTGGATAACAAACTAAGCCTTTGTGAAGCAGGTATCTTATTCATCTGAAAATGAATGCTTCCTTTATCTGACACAGCCAGTTGGTTTTACCTTTGCTCATATAGATGGTTTGTTTGATGGAAAACATTCTTTTTTAAATATGTAAATGCAACTGATCCTGAGAGAAAAAAATATCATAACCCACCAGTAAAAAACAAATGCATTGCCCTTTAAAATGGCACCATTTTTGATGCTCACTGTGAATGTACTTCATACTGGTTTGACCAGTATTCTTCTTAACAGTGTAGAAGTGTTTTTGCATGAAATATATTAATTGATGCTCTCTTCCTCTCTTAAAAGAGCTTTCTTCCCTTATTCCGCAGCAAGTTGTGTCTACCAAAATACTGGTCGAGTCCAATGAAATGAGTTGATTCTATCTCATTCCACAATTTGAACGTGTCTTGTTACAGAAACTTTTAAAAGGTTGTCTTGTTTAGCTTGAGAGATGAATACGAATATTCACCAACCAATCCCCAAATCCAAACTCTTGATTTTTCAGAGGTTTCTGTTTAGCAAAATTATGACATTTGACAACAAGAAATAACCCCCTGGGTGAATTATTGGATACTTGCCTCCTGTGGGGTTTCTGCAGCTCCCTCTGCTGCAGCTGAACACGTGGCTGGCCGCTAAAACCTTTTCCAGAACAGACCTCAGCAACACACCTGGCTCTGGCTGGTCCAGTTCCCTCTCTGCAGGTGAGAAAAATCTGAAAACTCCAAACTGCCCAGCTGACATCTGGCAGGATGAGAGCCCAACCCCCAAACCTCTATCCATGGGAATCCTGAGGGGCACTTTCAGTGCCTGAATGCTGACTGAGCACTGTAAGTGTGAGAACACTAAATCAGCATTCTGGCTGACAAGCATCAGGCAGGAGCTGCTCCACTGAAGCCAGAGTGACTGTTGTGAGCTGAGGGGCAGGTGGTGAGTGTGAGCACCCAGGGTATATTTCTGTGTGTGCACAGAGAGCTCCTGTCTCACTCAGCTGTCACAGTGCAAGATTCTCTAAGAGTGCCACTCATCACATCCTTCTACTGCACAAGTGATGGGACCTGCACACCTCTGCAGGTAAAAGCACTTTCCCAAAGGGCAACAAAAATGAATACAAGAAGTAGCATTTTTAATTATGGTTCCATAGACTGGTGCAGTTCACAAACCCTGGAGAACACAGGACAGCCAATTAAATACTTGTGGGAAAAGTGATTTTCACTGATTGGACGGGGAAGCACTCCTTAGGGATATTACTGCCTTTACCGTTGTGAAAAATCAGAGTTAAAATATAAAATACTTGATGTTAATGTAAGTATCTTCTCCATTTTATTTCTTTGTTTCAACATTAAAACTGAATTATCTTTTAGAAAATTTAGCTGCTGCCACTTTAGAGATGCTGCCTTTGCAGCTGGGTGCATCCACGGTTCTGATCATACCTTTATGTCATAAATGTGATCTAGGAACCAAAACTAGAAATGAAGCTCAAGCCCCACCTTTGCAAACATAATTAGATATGTTCACTGATACTGTCTGGAAACATGCAAGTATAGTGAGCCTTTGTTCACTTATTGTCTGCTTGTTCTGTGCTATTGTCACCTCCTGTGTGGTGACACCCAGCAGTAATCCTGGCCCGTGGCATCTTCTTTGAGTCAGGCTTCTAGAATCAAATTTGCCAATAAAATGCCTGGAGCTGGTTAGTGAGATACAGGGCTCTTCTTTTGAGTAATCTCAGTGACTGGGTAACGCCAAGTATCAAAGAGATGTTTTACAAAAAACCAAAGGCAAGTGTTTTACATTAAATCTTACAAAACTGTACATAAGAATAGTCTACAACATGACAATGGCCATTAAACGGTTGTAATAATCATGAAATGTAGTAAATATAACAATTCTAATGTTTCATATATTTATGATATTAATCACTGTATTCATACAGTTGTGTTTGTATACATATATTCAATGGCACTGTAAACAGTTGTTGGAAAACACACATTAACTCTTAACCCATTAGAAGTTATTATAGTACTTTTTCATCCAAAAAGTTAAAATGCATCAACGTATCATTGACTTAAAAAAAATAGCCTTGTAATATAATGCACATTTGACATCTTCTAGGGTAGCAATCAAGATGAAGCGTAACAGAGAATGTTCTAGATTTCATGTTTTACATTTACACCTAACGTGATACAAAATTTTAAACATTAAATGTAATTAAATAATACACAGTTTATGAAACAGTTGATTTCAGAGATCCATAATACACAAAATCTAGTTAGTGTCTAATTGAAGCTCCCAATAATTTATATCTCTGGGACCTTTATAGAAAACTTAAGTTGGTTTCTATGCAATGTCTCATAGGCAAAGTAAGTTTGAATTGAGTTATCTTTTTTCTCTTTTTTGTTTTTTTTTCTGTACAGAGCTGCATTCAAGTGGATAAAACATTATTATGTTTATTTATGTTTCCCTTTGCTGGACATTCATCCAATAAGCCTTGAGCATATGCTAAAGCATCTGGTAATGACATTTTGTGGGGCAGGGAAACTCACTGTCTATGTCCCTCAGTAAACAAAGTGGTTTTATTTTTTTCCACAGTTAAGGCAACTATACTGATATATTAGACACACCATATGTTTTTATGTTGCTTCCTACAATCTAAACAACAGGAGTGAAAAGAAGTTTCAAACATGCTTTGATCTTCTTGACCACTCAGGAATTTCATCAGGGTGGTAGAGAGCACTTCTCCATAGAGGAGAGCAACCTGGTACTGGGCTGCTGGGAGGTGTCCCTGCCCATGGCAGGGGGTTGGGACTCGATGATCTTTAAGGTCCATCCCAACCCCATAACATTCTATGATTCTGTGAACTGTAGCACAGATTGTTAGCTGTTCACTAAAAAAACCAAAGTATGGATTACCTTGAAGACTGACCATTCGTATAATTTACCAGAAAAATTAAACAAATAAACAACAGATTCCAGATTCCAGCAAACAAAACTGATAAAAACAGTAACACACACATAGGCAATTTCTGTGTTTTCAGTTATTTCTACCCCATAACTTAAGCTACTCAGACCCTTGTGACCATCCTCGCTGTACCTTGGGTGGGCTTTGCCAAAGGCTATCTGCAGACATTGTAACTGATGGACACTTGGTATCTGCCAACCCCAGCATTTCACTTCTTATTTATCCTAACAATCACATCAACTAGAGAGACATTTCCATTTGTTTCCAGTCGGGTAAGGCTGCAGGTATCAATGACAGTGAACAGGAGCACTAGCACAGCATCTGCAGGGCAATGCAGCTACAGGGGACAGTGCCACAGAACTGCCAGTGCTGCCAGAACAGCAAGGGAGGGACTCAGGGCTGGGCTGCTCCCATTTCCAGTTACACTGTGTTTGGAGGATGACTTGACAGTGCTTGTGGTGGTTGTGGTGTCAATCTTTTTCATGGTTGGTTTTGGTTCATTTCTGTTTTCTGGATGGGTTTTCTTGTCCTTGAGTATATCTGAAAACATGGAAGAAAACACGAGATTAATCACTTATCTTTTAAACAGTGCTCAAACATATTTAAATATTGCTATTAAATATGTTGTACACCCACTCTGAATAACTGAAACATGGATGGAGACTGATGGGGCACTTGCACTCATGTTTTAGTTGGGCTCAGCACGGCTGCTCTGTCCTCAGCACCCACTGTTTTGCTCAACAAATCTTCTCTGCCTGCCTGGCTCTCCTTGGCTACTCACAGTCACATCCTGAGCAGAGTAATAGGTATTCTGCATTGTAGTGGCTGGGCTCAGAACCTCATCTTCTCTCACAGGAAGTACCTTCAGTTTCAGCTGGGCTAGGAACCAGCTCATGCTTCAAAACGTGCTGTTAGGATTGAGAGCTTTGAAACACGTGCAGTGAAACACCCTCCAGGCTGCTGGGTTGCTGCAGGAGATTGGATATTGACTTAACAGAATGCCAGAATGGTTTGGGTTGGGAAGGGGCCTTAAAGATCACCTCGTTCCACCCCCCCCCTGCCATGGGCAGGGACACTTTGCACTATCCCAGGTGGCTCCAAGCCCCTGGCCTTGGACACTTCCACGGATGGGGCATCCGCAGCTTCTCTGGGCAACCTGTGCCAGGGCCTCAGCACGCTCTGAGTACTCTGAGTATCTAAGCTAAATATCTCCAATTTTCATTTAAGATCACTACCTCTTGTCCTTTTCACTGCCTACGTAAAGGGTCACTCTCCCCCCTTTTTGTAAGACTCCTTTAACCACTGGAAAGCTTCTCCCTCCAGATGCATTTTGAGGCAATTCCATGTATTTTTATATAAAGAGCTGGGTTCAGAAGAAAGTAGGAGCAGCCTTTTATTGCAAAAACATGGATTTTTTTTTTTAAAGGAAGAAAATAAATCTTTGGTTATGAAAACATTTCCAAGCTATTTGCAAATATTACTAAGACCATATTGCCCTTAAACCCTCTCATTGGCAATATGGAGAAACAAACAAACAAACAAATAAATAATTTCATCTGCTGAAGGGATGATGATCTTATATGCAATCTGTAAAAGCATACCTGAGTGCTCTGAAAGAACAAATGCCCACCTGGAAGAATTTATAATTAACAATAAATGTTCAGGTCTAAGTTTAAAGGATTTGTGATACTAATGAATGCAGTGCACATACAAAAGAAAGGAAAAGGCATGGATTTGTAATGCAGATGAAACAGCAGTCCAATCTTAAAATGAAAACTCTGAATCACAGAAGCAAGTTCCTGGCAGAAACTGGAAAGATGGAAAGTATTCCAGAAATGTAAATGCAATCTGAGATCATTGTCTGCATATCAGTAGCTCTGAACAACCATCAATAAATTCACTTGATACTAAAAATGAGCTATTGTATTGGGAAAGCACATATTATTCTTTTGCCAGAATAAACTGTAAAAGAAACGCAATTAATTCCTCCATTTTACCATAATATCAACATTAATCCTGGAGGAATGTGTGATTCCTACACCTGACTCAAGAGGGACTGCAGTGAAGGGACAGCAGCTGGCAAGGCATACTTTGGGAAAAGGGTACTCTGACATTGTGCTCCAAATTCCTTATGGCAAAGTGCAGGCACAGCTCTGCTGTGATTGCAGTGGAGCTCACAGAAAGGAGGGGGAGAAAAAGCATGCTCGAAATGTTTAGAAAATATCAGTATTCTGAGGACATTTGAAGAAAAATGGACAACCTTCAGACTGTCATTAAAGTAAATTAAGAATAAATCATGGAAATACGTGTGTTCTGACACTGCCTCGAGTCCTTTCCATCACTGTCACTCTCCTTTGCAACTGCAGTAAAGGCACTATTTCTCTGCTGCCTCTTATCCCAGCCTGCTGACTTCAGCTCTCTGGGGCCAGCTGATTAAATTAAGACCTCACTCAGGTAAATCTATTCCCCTCTTTCAGCTGGCCATGTCCAGCATTGTAACTTGATTGGCGTCTATAAATCGGGCAGACTGAAATGTATTAATTCGTTTATTTTCTTACTATTGACTTTAACAAAAATCTAGGGTAAGATTTAATGCTATCAGAGAGACTGTTGGTTTTTAAAAGCTTTCCTCTCAGTGACTGCTTAATGCACTACATAACAAGCATTAAATAATACATTAGAAAATTCTGCCTTTATCCTTTCCAGGGAAAGGACTCCATTCTGAATTCTCTCTCTGTCTTCACAGCAGAGGATCTTCTGATGCTATTCATGGCCCATTCTAATTTGGGATCTAATTGTGCAAAATTGGCATTTTATTCAAAATGTTCTGTTTTCTTCCTTTCTTAAAAATAAATAAAAATAGCTTAACTTTCAATTCAGCTCAGAATCTTTTTCAATCCTTAATTTCGTTTTTAAGGCACAAATTTCAGCAGTATAAAGATATCCTGTTTTATTCCAGTTTCCTCAGAGTTCCTGTTGCTTACTCACTCCACGATTTTGGCTGAGAGACTCTGAATTAAATTAGTTTTTCCTCTTAAATCTTTTTCTCTGAGTCAGAGATGGCTATGTTCAGTCTACTACTGACATTCAAAAGGCAAAAAAGTACTGATCATGCTAGGAAAGAAAAAAGTGTTAGTGTGAAGACTAGCACAGAAATGAAACTTCAGTCTCAACACAGCAAAACCCCAGATGTACAGCACCCATGAATCCAGCCCCTGGAGTGTGACTTCATGAAACCAACCCACCAAACCCCACAGCTTTGGTTTGTTCTCCTATTTACCTTCTGTGTTTTAAAGGCTTTAGAGTTGCCCATTGGAAGCTTTCTCCACTGCTAGAAACTTCCTTCCATCATCAGTCCCTCTCTCCTTTCCAGAGATGGAATGGTTAAACTCTCTGAAGGCTTCAGCTCACCTCAGCCTGCCCATGGGATGGCCTTTGGACACTGGCACACAAACATTGTTCTGTGCTGTTTATTTCCCACTGCACCATGGTGGTGACACAGCCACTGCAGTAGTGGCTGTGCTGGTCCCTCACGCAGGCTCTCAGTGAGAATATTCAAATCGTGCCAAGGAGGGTGCTTAGTGCAGGCAGCTGCCTGCCAAGGCTGCCTTTCTGAGCAGCCTCTGGGGACTCCTGCCGAGGACAGGGTCTGCTGGGGTCACTGAAGATGGCTCCGAGTGCCTCCAGGCCCTGCCATTACAGCTCAGTTAGTCCAGGGGATTGAGTCCACTTCCTCAGCTGAACTCTCGTCTGTGTTAACTGCTGCTAAACTCCCATCCTGACAGTATAAACAAAACACGGAATGAGAATGACTTGACCTCGCTGTTTAGAGTGTTGAGGATTATCTTCACCTCCGAGATGGAACCACAGATTGCTGCCCAGTAATGCACGCGCCGCTCCGACCGCACCGAGCTACTCATAAATACCTCTATGGATCGATACTATTCCTCAGAGAGACCAGCTGAGGATGGCAGGAGAACCAAAACTGTCACTGACATCTAATTTAGGAACAGGAAACCTCCCCTACAGTGAGGGCTGATTATGCTTTTCAAATGCATTCAGTGAGTCACATGTTAAATCGGAGGCAGTCACCTGAATCGGAAGCAGTAAGGATACTGGGGCAAAACAATGCCATTATAATTTTTTTAGGTTATTACTGGGTCATTAGACAGAAGTTCAAGTCATATTGGCACCCAAGCTATCAGTTTCCCCTTCCTAGGCCAAATGATTTGCAGTTTGCTACTGCTAGGGATTATCAAAGATGTAACTATTTATTGGTGTACTCGCACACTATTGCTCTCCAGTGAGAGGTATCAGCAGGGTCTGCTTTAATCTGTTCACGTTTCCTACTGCCCTGCCGAGGGACGAACAAGTTCAGCTATTTAACAGAAACCTCCTTCTATTTTTGTCCTTCTCTTGATCTGATTTGTGCTGAGTCCTTTCTCTGTGATGGTAAATGACTGACCCCTGCTCCTCAGGCACTGCACTCGTGACTGCCCAACAGCCTGCGTGCCTCTAAAGCTGCAGATCCTCTCACCAGACAGGGGTACAGCCCCTGTGAGCAGAGGCTGAATAAAAACAAACCAGAGAGATTTGCCAGACCAGTCCTGTAAATGTTAATTACAGCAGCCTGGTTTCTAATGGAGCAGGGCACTGACAGCAGAGAATCCATGCTCATCAATCCACCGTGCCCACAACGTGGGGATTCTGGACACGTTTCCATCAGTTTTAACCAGGAGCTGCTGGAGAGAACTTTCATCCCAGCTATATGGGGAGACAAAAGAAGCAGAGATTGTTTATTTCTGCTTTCCCCATGTTAATTACATCAAGTCAAACCTGTCCATTTCTTTCTAGACTTTCATGCAAACACTGTGCTTTGAAAAGACAGACTGTCAGCATCTACGATAGCAAATTAATGCCTTGGTCTTGAATGCCTCATCATGGGTGTAATGACACTCATAATGCAGATCTGAAGTGAACTGGTCAGCACCTGCATCTCCTCTCCACATTGCAGCTCAGTTGTTTGATAAATTTCCCTTCGATCACAGGCTTGGGTTTGGCTGACAGCTTCATAAGAAAATTAAAGCTAGGTGCAACTTGGTGGAACAGGCTCTTAAATTACAGTAGATGCTGCAGTGTTATTATTAGCTTTTTATCACCTCGGGTAGCAAAAGCTGAAATTACTTTTACATATTCAAAGGAAGAAGCTCTGAAATTGCAAAACAATGCTGTCGCCATAAAATGTACCAACAATTTCCAAATAATCCATTATCTTGACATTAAGACCAGCACTAATTATTTCCAGTTACAGCTGCAGCAGACAAATGGAAACAGGACTGCTGTGGAAATGGGAATGTGAGAACTCTTAAAGTATGATAACTCGTGATGCAATTCTCCAAATTCTGGAGTCTGTTATTGTGGTCTGTGTAATACCAGTCAGTAAAAGGTGGGTGTAATGTTTGCTTTGTGGAGCCAGAAGAAGGGAGCAATGAACAGCTCTGCATGTACTGTTCTACCATTTTCTATTTCAGCCTGGGAAC